TACTAGGAGAATTGGGCAGTTTTTACCTACCGTACTAAGATTTTCGCCCAGACTCTCAGCAGAAGCAGTGCCTTCCATGATGAGTCCTGTAATCCTGTAATTACTTGTGTCGTGAAAAGAATAGGCAACAAAGTGGGAGGATTCAAAACTCGGACTTCAAGGGTGTAGGAGGGGGAAGGAAAAGGGAGGTTCAGGGTTATGGCACTGTATCCACTTATTTTCAAATTCCTTCTCGGGTTCCTCCTAGGTACTTCAAGTTTCTCAGATATTAAACATTTTTTCCTATCATCAAACTGCTTATCCATTCCCATAGATTCTACTTTGATCTATCATCGTGTATGTGCATCCCCTCGTTAACCGGTGGTTCTTCGTTCGACGTTACGTTTCTCAAGCACTTTTGAGTGACAATTGGATTTGTTTTGTCTGCTTTACAGCTATGGGAACAACAAAAAGTCGGCAGCGCATTTCTTGGAATATTTTTCATTTTGAAGCAGGTGTAATCAAGAAAACGCCGCCTTTTCGTCACGCTTCTACTGACGCTCGTAGTCATATATTATTATTCTGCAAATCTTCCCAGTTGTTACTCCGTTTACCACAACGGAGACCGTGGGTGCCTGTTGGTTCAAGGGGAGGGCATTATTCTACAGTGGATCACTCTTATTACTTCCTAAAAACTTGTGATAACACTCCTCAAACAACTGCTTCCACTATAATCAAGAGTTCGTAATCTTGATATTGGTTTTGTAACCTATTCTTCATTTAAAAAATCCAATTTGTGTAGACATTGAGTGAATAGAGTATCTATTGATGAGTCACCCTTCAGGTGGGGTTACCCTGAATTTTCTCGGAACATAAAATGAGATTACCCTCGGTGCTGGTTTCCCGAGCTCTGCAAACTTGTACATTTCATCATTTCCCCAATCAATGCCTTTCACAAAAACTGCTGCTGCTGATTCCATAGTCAGCTCGATGATTCATCCCGGCTTTCTTCCGTCTTTCAAAGCGATTTCTCTCTTTTCACTTTATGCGTATGTACGTTTTACGATTCCTAATCACGAAATAGAATCGTCGTCGTTTTGTCATCGTCTTAACATCCACCACCACCGTTGTCGTAGATGTCAGTCGTCGTCATTTCAGATGCGGCCAGGATGAAGCCGTCATCGATATTTCGTCGTGAATCGTCATTAAAGGCTGTCCGAAACTGGCTTCAAACATGCTCACAACCGTTGCTCATCATTGGGCCACCCTATTGCGGCAAAACCTATTTGGCCAGACAGGTTCGACATACCTCCATTTCTTTTATCGAAACAGTTTCAATTGTTTATGGGGTTTTTTTCTTTATTTATTTGTTTATTTTTTATTCTGTCCTATTGCTCTGTTTGATACTTTACAACTTTTGAGTATAAACAGATCAAAAACAGAGGTGTTGTTCAGAACTATGTCTATCAATCCTGATTTTGCTATATTTGATTGATTTTTTTTATTTTTAATAGTAATATGACTGAGGGTTCCGCCATGTTTCGGAAGGACCTTCAAGGATTTCTGATACTTTTGTTCTTTCCCATTCAGTCACTTCCTTTTCCTCGTATTCCAGGGAAGGGTAATTCCCAGATTTTGAACTTTTTCAAAGTTTTTTTTTCAAAAGCAAGCTTTAAGCAGCCCGTCTCTCTTCACTACTGTCCTCTCCTTTCCTACTTCGAAGTTCTAAAACTCCAATCCCAGGATTCAGGCTTTCAGCTCCATTTCTTTCCAGAGTTCTTCTCCTTGTTTCCCACTTTGGGCTTCTATAGCTTTGGCTGAACCTTACGATTGCCGTTTTGGAGACGGAGCTCGTTCTAATGAAATCGCCTCGATCCAATATCCATGGCAGACGAACGATTCCTCCGTTGATTCCCGGATCCTCACCCTCGCCCTGTCCTTAATCAAATTCGCCATTCAACGATTTCGTTACGTTGACATCGGCGAATTCGTTCGTCAACTCCCTCTCTCTGCTCGCTCGTTGCTGCTGTATGCGCCCTAGGAATTCCGGATGGCCGCCCTTTTCGTCCCAAATCGGATGTGCCCTCAAATTTCGATTGACTCTCTATCGACCGCGTTCGAATTAGCTCGTAAATGGCGTTTTACTGCCAGTTGAATAGAATAGACTCGGCTTTGCGCAAGAAGTCTCTGGGTGTTTCCAAGAATGCACTTTGTGATGGCAGAAAAGGGTCCGAAAAATGGACGCCGTCTTGGCAGTCACTCATATCAGTTTGGGAAATCATCTGAAGGAGAATTAGACTTGCACATGGTGTGAATGATAATCGGAACTCGGAATTCGGAATTCGGAACTCCATGTGTTCAGGGGATTTCCATGGATTAACACTGACGGCTTTGTCAGGGCCGTCAACGAGAGCAGTTATGACAGATGACCTGAATGGGATAGTCTGAAAAATGTGAATCCAATTGGGTACGGACGTCTGTCCAGCCGGGAATGTGTTCGGGTGGTCCAAATAGGAAAAAAGCTGAACTCCCGATTCAAGCTCCCAGTCAATAAAGGTCTTTTCGAGCATTCCTGATGCTGAAAGCCTCCGTGGGTGTCCTCTTACCCCTCGAATTTCACATTTCTTCGTCGCTAGGGATTTTTTCTGATGGTTCATTAGGTGTTGGTCGTTTAGTGCAATGACTAATTGACTTTCATCTCCAAAGTACATTTGTGAAACGAAATTGAGGGCCTCCCTATTCGCATAATGAAATTCCTAATGCCTATGGTATAAGCATGTTCCCTTGGGGACGAAGATTGCCGAGAATAGATGGGTTTCGAACAGCGTTAAGGGTTCCAGTGGTCTCCAAGAACTTCCAATCCTCTTCTTCGTAATGAAGTAGATGGGTACTGAATTTTTTCGCGATTTT